ACACTGTCGGTAAGATGGAAAATATCACTTGGACGCCCGAAAGAGATACGTGGATACAACAAACTCGCAGTCGAGAGTATTGAAGAAAGTACCGTGACGACGAGAAAGAAATGCAGAATACCGAAGCAAAGAATGACACATAAAGTACAATGCAGGAGTCAAATAACGCGCTTTGAGACGCACGCAAAACTGCCGTCCAACGGCAACAAAACATCTTTTGATCACAGTGACGATCTTCCATTATTTATCCTACCACTGTTTGCCACACACAAACACAGACACACACATGTATATATACATACATACACGTACAAGCACACATACGTATGTGCACAACACACGCACACACGCAACCTAGAGCAGTGGTACTGGAATGCTTTCACATGCTAGGCCGTACCAGTGCCGGGTTCTCCGATCCTAGGCTGCATACCTCTAGTCAGCACTTATCATCTGCTACTTTTTCGAAGTATTACAACATCACCCAACAGCAAAGTAAGCAATAAGCCTTCCCCATCGGATTTCACGGTCTCACACCAGATCGAAATAATATTCAGCATGCCAAAGTCCGATTGTTTATATGATCACAAACAGATAAACATCCTCAGCTTAATTGGCTCTGTCCGTCACAGCCAGCGTTCGCTCTTCTGCTTTCATCAATGACCACGTTACACAGTCATATTAGATTGACTTAAAATACCCTAACACTTCAACTATCAGCTAAATGAATTCCACATGTTGCGTATGCTTGTGTTGTGTATACGTTTTCTCATGAAAGAAATAAGTGTATTATTATGTGCCATGTCCGAAAGAAAAACAATGGCTCGGGTAGCTCTCGAAGAAGAGGTGGCGCACAGATATTGATCAAATGATAAGTGCTGACTGGAAACCTGTTACTGAGGGTTGAAGAGCCTGGCTTAGCTGCGCCGAGCATGCAAGAGCAGCTAACAACAACACAAATTAGGAGATTGGTGTATTTGTAGGGAAGACATTGGAAAATTGCAAAATTTTTATAACAAAAAGGAGAATTAGAAAAGGGAATTAAGTACTCCACAAAACCAGGAAAAAGAAAGAAAGTTGATTTTTTAGTAAAAAAAATGTAGAGGGATGTTTCAGTCCATGAATAGTAAAGTAAGAGGAATGGACTTAGATGTCATGTACAGAAAGACATTTTACGATGCAGCCTGTGTTTCATCCCTTAGCTGTAAACACAGACCGGACTATGCATGCGGTTAGGAGTGAGAACCGTCAGTACAGCCTCCTACCCGCCACGTATTGAAAGGACATGTAACTATTTTGCAAGACGGAGATGTGAAGTCCTTTCAAGTTCCTGAACTAAGCCTCGTCATTACGGCAGCTGTGGTTTCTTAAAATTAAGAAAGGAAAAATGAGAAATAAAGTATAAAATCTCGAATTCCCAGGATGATTGTGCGAAAAAGGCCTTGTTAACATTCCCAAAAATCTTGTTTTGATTCCAGTTTCCAGGTTCAAACACACGTATAGTTTTCATTCTTTCCTCTCCTCCGGCAACTGCATCTCTTCCAGTTCCTAACCATACGAATAACACGCTCTAACAATGTGTTTCTCCGTATGTTATTTATTATGGCACATCAACACTGCGCTCTCATTCGATTGATTACCGATCGAAATATGCACAGAAAATGCTCGTTCCGTAATCCGGGAAGAATTCAGGAAGTTGCGGAGCAGTGAGTGAAATCCACGAAGACAACAATTTACAAAGGATAGCTTTCTCTTGAAACGACCGATACGAAGTCAATAAGCGGAAAATCCCAGTACGCCCCCAGATAATCCGGAATTTTTGGCCAACGACTGGAAGACCAGTGCAAGCAAGCTACTTGGATAACTCGGTGTATTACTGGCTTGCACTGCTACACGTCGCTTTTCTCCCACTGAATGGTACCTAGCTATAAAAGCACTACCGCCGATTACTGCCAAGACCACAGATTCCAGCAAGTTAATAATCCATAATTTATGCAGAAGCGCTACGTATTGAATATTTCAGCTCTAGTAATACGTTACCAGTCATTCATGAAGAATCCTTTTTTCACAGCGAGATCCTAGAAGGATGGGATCGGTTTCCGGATATCTTTGCTTCATCTGACCATAAGACTAGTCGGGTACTGTGTCTCACCGTGAGCAAAGAATGACAACGTCCGGGATAAATATTACACACCAGGGACATCTCAAAACAGCTAATGTCTTGGCATGTGGTTAATCAACGAAACGAACATCAGGTTTGCTAGCAAGCTGACCACGAAACGAGGAAGCACTGGTCAAAGCAACTGGTAAAGTTGTTCGCTACATAACTGGTGAATCGCGCAACTGATCAAAGTAACAAAATAAATATTACCGAAACATATATAATGGACCGAAACATTTCTTATCATTACAATATACTTTACAAGATTTTACAACTTTTACTGATTTCTTAATATTATTTGCTTTTGTCATCTTCCAACTCTAAAATATTTTCCTATTAATTAGTGATTAGCAGGCGAAAGTGTAAAAAACCAAAGAATAATAAAAAGTACTTGCATGTAAAAACTAGTGATGTACGAAGGATAGGAAGAAAACAAAATCACAGATCTAAATGTATGTGAATAAATAAACCTGTAAGTTCAGATTTATGTGCACATATATATTTCGAGGTATTAATTACGATATATAGTAAAGTATAAAATTACATAAAAATAAAGATTAGACGAACAGGAGTGTTTATATGTCTGAAGTAAAATCGATTAAGATAACAACGTTTCGGTCCATTAAGCTACACGCTTCTCATCCTAACATCCTAACACCGCAACTAAGCATCGATTAAAAAAGAATAACATTAAAAGATTAGAAAGTTTTAAATCACGAAATTTTGCACCAGTAAAGCGCAATTATCACCGATTTATATATCGATATAAGCTAGTGCTTCGCTGTCCCAACTGGATACACAGAAGCTGGTGTGCGTGTGTTTGGGCGTGCTTCTTCGTGGACAATATTTTTCAAAATCGATGCTTCTGCTGATTATTTAGTGGGAATCGACAACAGCAAAAACAGGAGTTCGAGGCAAGGGCAGAGGCGAGGAGAGGAGGGGTGGGGTGTTTTCAGCCGTCCAGAAAGACTTGTTTGTGCGTTATGTCCGTTGAAATTAGTCTGCCTACTACTCTGCTCTAACTTTTTTTGCATTATTTAGCAGCTATAGCAGAAGCAAATGGTTCATAAAATAAACAAATCGAGTGGTATTGCCGGGATTTTTCTATTTTTTGATGGGGAGGGAGTTTTTTTTGCAAAACCCCTGGTACCTGCTTTTCTGGAGCTTCCTGGAAACGCAAGCTTGTGTTTTTCGCTTATTAATAGCATTTCACTCAAAAGCAAACAGGATTCAGCTCCCCAAGTGAGAAAATCAATTTCAGTAAGACTTGTTCATACGTTTCGGTGGACAAAGTGCTACCGGCATATGTCGGTGTCAAACCTGTAATTAGCTTGCTTATAATTAACTCCCGAGAGAGAGAGAGAACTATCATCAACACTTTACCAACTGATGATTAGTGCTGGTATTTGCTACCACTCCAATTATTTTCTTTTTCAAAAATTAGTCAGAAAGAAGCTGATGGTGGGTTTGACTCCCGGCATATGCCAGTACCAATTTACCGTCGAAACGAATGAACATGGGATTGGTTGTTCAACCGGTGGGGTTGAATTTTCAATCTTTTCCAACAGCACTACTTCTTACTACTTGTCGCAGTAGTAAAAGTTTAAATTACACAATAAAAATCCTATTTTTTATAAATTCCTGTTTAAAATTTTTAAATCGCTGAGAACCAATAACAACACCGTTGACGGGTGCTGCAGAGGAATGGGGAATGGAACGAACGGATTGAACAGCAGCAGGCAGCACACGAAAAAGCATGCTGAGCGGAGGAACAGCTGTGATAATGCTTTCAACAAACCAGCTAGCAAGCGGCCATATTTTTTGCAAAAATCCCGGAAAAATTTCCTGTCATTCAAAATGTTTATCGTTGGCTTACTCAGCTTCCGACAAAGCATGCCCTAGAATTGACAGTCCTTCGTAATCTCGGATCGAATTTCCGAGGAAAAACTGTCGGGCGCAGGTTTCGACTTCTTTAGCCTGCTATAGCACATTCCTCAATTGCTTTTTCTAGTATTTGGCAAATTTTACATCCTTCGCGGTTACAAGTTACATTTTAATTGTTTCATCTCTTTGGCCAGTCCTTGCACTTTTGACTTATTTTTCTCCTCCGATATGGATGCATTTAGCGCCTTTTGTACGCTACTTAGAAAGATGTAAATAAATTTTCCTTCAGACTTTTACTTATCCGCACAAGAGACACAAATGTACATGAAGGCTGAACTCAAATTTTCCGGATCGTGTGCAGAAAGGAAACATCCCCCTGAATTTTCAGCTTTTCTACTTTTTCTGGTTCCCAGAGGAGGATATTAGCGGTTGTTTGTCTAAAGACCAGACTTCCGATCTCATGCTCAAATTTCGACTAACTCTGTAACTTCTAACTTTTAGATCCTACGGCTCCCATCTCTTACTTCAATCTCCTTTTACAAATATATGTATGGGACGATAGGGAATCGAATCCGTCTTTTTACCGAATTCTTCGATTCATGAGAAGTTAGCTATTACACTGCCGGCTCTTGTGGTCCACTCAGCAGTCGAACTACCTATATCTGTAAGTGTGCCACTCACTATCTAACGCTGCTACCACACGAATTGCATTTTTTTTTTTTTTTTTAATTTTCGCTAGCTTTTCTGGGTATCAGCGAAACTCCCTGCAATAACTTACAACAAAAACGCATGAACGCATTGGATTTCAGGTTCAAGCCATATTTTATTATTTATTCGCCAAAACGAATCCATGCCAGCCTTTTTGGAGCGCATCGCAATTTACTCATTATCTTATATTTTCCAAAGATTTTGCTAGCACTAAGCACATGAACATTCTAGAGGGCTGCAAAGACATAGCTTAATCATCGACATTAATCGGCTCGTTGGGAACCGGATAGCCCTGCACCATATCATGCTCCGGCCAGTCATACGTATAACCGACCATCTCATCATAAGTGGTCTGATACATCTGCAAGCGCACATATTTCTCCATGTATACAGGTTTCGGATAAAGCGCTGCCAGACCCACCTAAATAAGTTACGTAATTAAAAAACAATGCCATAATTGTATCTGATCAAAATATGTGGTAACGGTAAGAAATGTATACAACTTAATGGACCGAAACATTTCTTACCAATTATAAATATTTCAATACTCCCATTCCCCCTTTTTTTCACTTCGTTTTCCTTCCCTCCTTTTTCCATTTCATCAATTTCTATCTTAGCCTTCAATCAGAATATCAATCGGAGCAGTAATTTTGAGATCTTAGCTCTGACCGGTTTTGGAAGACACAAACTGTATGAGCTTCTCATCGGCAATTGTAGGCCAAAAAATCCGTTTCAAGAAATCAAGAAAAGTAAGAAAAAATGGCTATTAACCTTGTAAGCATATTCACCCATTGCTAAAGCTATTTTAACGGAGATTTCACGAAGACGACTCATACTCGGGTACAGTCGCTTAACATAAATATCCTCCTTGGTAACGCATTTTGCCACTTCCTGAAACCATATCGAACCCATCTTACAGATTAAAAAAAATGCGAACCAAGAAGAATCGGCCATGTATCTGTAGCTTTGCGGAATTTTCCATGTGCTGTACAGTTCAATAAAACCAACGGTCGATGTAATGGACAACTGGGCAGTGGTGCGAAGCGAAAAATAGTGTCGCGGAAGTCCGGTGAAAAGCCGATAGTTGAAGATGGGCTGCACAGGGGACGACAAAGATACACAAATATATGCCCTAACTATTTTTTAGGAGCGTAAGAATCGTACTTTAGCATGTACCAACCAAATGCTCCATTGGCTTAGCACGTAACATCCGAATGTGAAGAGGAGTGGTTCGATTCCCTTCGGTTTCATACTCACTACAAGCGGCTCCGCTTGCGAGGCACAGTGTATTGACGATTCTAAAAGGCTAAGGAGCCGTAGGGAAATTGACACTAAGTATAATAATTAACCCACTTTCTGGTGAGTTTATTGTTCCTTTATTAGAAGCTACAAAAACACCTAACAGTCGATGGTTTTTTCCCAGGAAGAGCGGAAATTCATTTAACGTGCTGACTTTTGAAGAGCTACCAAGTATGAAATGCAGAATAACTGGTTCTCTGCTTGACAAGCTGATGATTTACCTTAGCTGCGATCAAAAACATTTCTTCGTCAATGTGGCGAATTTTAAATATAACAGCACCAAGACCAATTCCAGGAAAAACATAAGAATTATTGCCTTGGCCTGGTTTATAAACTTTACCGTTATATTCCACATTTGGAAATGGACTACCACTTGCAAATAGCACTCTTCCCTGAAACATACCTTTTTTGAGCATTAAATCAATTCGCTCACACAATTCTAATTAGGCTGCTGCAGGATGCGGTTTTCAATGCTTACACCATTTTGGCTCACGTTTGCTATTCAAGCATGTTTTGAATGCGCAAATTAAAAAATTAAATTTGAGAAGTGTTGTAATTATTTCTTCTGAGCGGCCAGTGAAAGCTCAACATTTGCACTTAAACTCAAAATACAAATACTAGTATTTGACACGACAACTGCACGTTTTGAAGAAGTCTGCTTGAGCAGCTAAATCGGAGTGTTTGGAAGAGAGAAGCCCAAAATAGAGAAGAATGGAGAAGTTGCCAGCTGCATCAATGGCGTGAAGAAATACGGCAATGAAACAGCAGCTCATTAAAGCATAAAAATAATTGACATGAGACGGGATTAGAAAATTTACATCAGTCCAGGTATAAGCTTGCTCTGCAGTGCACTCAGCTTTTTTGGTAGGATTTGAGAGGGCAAAAATGATCGGCTTCGGATTCAGCTTCGCCATCGTGCGAACAACATCTTCATTGAATGAACCACCCGAGGTTGATGTGCCGATCAGAACTGTTGGTTTGACTTCCTTGATCACCTGAAATTTTGTTACTTGACAAAAATACAAATTATCTATGGAAATTATCAGTAGTGCTTATACTACCTGTTATGATAGTAATGGTGCTATGTGATTGAGCGAGCAAGTACCCGCCACGTTAATTGCGTATACATGGCAGAATCGACTGGCGAAGCGTGGCTATTTCAAAGAAACCGCCAAACCGACAACCCCTTTACTTTGATTTTGGTGTATTAACTGCTATATTGGACTGTTGAATTCCTCATGGGTTGTGAAGACGCCGTGTAGTATTGTGTATATTTAGTTTTTTTTCTTTTTTTTTTAAAAGAATAGTGGGATACTGGATATACGTGGCACAAGGCGCCACTGGTACGAATATCGAGTGAGGGAGGCTAAATTCCTCTATCTTTTTTTGTGCTTTTTTTTGCAGCAATGCAATGCGAACCCAGGCTGGAACGCACCAGGCGGGCCGGTGCGATTATGCGT